TCACATCCTAGCGCACTGCCTAACGCAGACGCCTAACGCGAGGTCGAACAGGGCCTAAGCATTGGGGCACGAACAGGATGTGAGGCGACAAAAGCAGCGAGTCTATTTCGATGTATGTATGTTTGTATGATGTGCGTTATGGAGGTGGAGATGGGGATTCATGGTACATGCAGTGGGGTAGATGACGGGGTGATGAAGGGATGGAGCAATGGATAGGAAGAAGCAGGGGGATGTAGAAGGATTATCGGCTTATGAACATGAAGCAGAGCTGAAGACGGAAGAATCAAAAGGAAGAGTATGTAATGTAGATCCATGCAGGTATACCGCACCGATGAGCCAGCCAGAGGCGCGCGCGATGACAGGACAGGTCCGTGAGTTGACTCGGGGAAAGGGGGTCCAAAAAGACGTTTGAAGATACTCTAAACACCGGCCACGACAACAACACCAAAAATACGTTGAAAGAACCGAACAACAACAGCAACAACACTAGACCTCATCGTGTCTACATCATAACAGCCGTCTTGCCCGAATTGAACGAGCTATCTTGCTCGTCGTGTAGCTGCACACCAGGCGCGCGACGCATGTGCTCGGAGCCCTGGAACTGCGCGTACGCAGATCCCGAGCTTGGTACACGGCGCAACCCAGATGGCGCGGAGAGGTGCGAAGGCGAGCCTGGTGGGCTCTGACCTCCACCGCGATGAGGCATCGGCATAGGACCGTTGGAGGGCAGGAGGACGGGTTGAACGGGGTTTTGGTAGCTGATCTCGAGCTCTTCGAGAACTTGCTTGAGGTACTTCATGAACTGGTGACGACGCGCCCAGCGGGCACCCCAGTCCTGCCAATTCTTGCGATCTATAATACTCATGTAAGCCGATGATCGAATAAAGGGAATGGAGACGACATACGCTCGACACCAATGACCAAGTGGATGACGTTCTGGTTTTGAATCGTATCGATGTTCATGTTCGTATTGGACCACTCGCGCGAGTTCTCCTGGATGTAGTTCGACAGACTCTGGCGGAGCTTCTCGATGACCTCGAGCGGCGTGTCGTAGCTGATCTGGATCTCGGTCGTCTCCCACATCGAGTTGCTACGGCGGAGGTTGTGTACGAGTTTAGAGGAGGAAAGAAGCGAGTTAGGCGCGACGATCTCTTGGCCGTCGACTCGGCGGAATGTCGTGGAGAAGAGACCGAACTCCTTGACGAACATCGGCTGTGCGGGAGTCGTGAGCGATGTGTGCATGTCATGTGGCAGGGAAGGACGTACGTTGTCATCAATCAATACGAGATCTCCGACATCATAAACATGCGTCGAGAAGATGAAGATGAGCTGCGAATGATATCAGTGAGCATGTGAAATCTGCAGGGCCACAGATTGCGACATACCGATTCGAAGAGCTTCTGCGCCGAGTTGCCGAACACGAATGAGAAACCGAGGATGATGGTGGCGACGGGCAGGAGCGATGCGAGCGTGTTGCTCGGGTTGAGAACGAGCAGCCAGATGAAGATGATGATGCAGAGCGCGCAGAAGAGCATGGTGTAGTCGAGCTTGGCAACGATGCTTCCGACGTCCTTGAGCGATGCGTTGAGCACTTTGCGCTCGCGGTAGATACGCTGGACAGCCTCGCGCATCTCGCGCTTGCTAATATCGCCGTTCCCGTCCTTGTCGAAGAGAGCGAATGCGGCGTGTGCCTCGGCCGTCGTGTGGAAGTAAGGGTAGAAGTCCTCGACGATCAAGTGCGAGCGAGGCGGGTAGACGTCGCTGAGCGCATCGAAGAGCTTCTGCGCGAGCTTACGAGCCGAAACGAGATCACCGAGTTCCTGCTGCCTGTTCCAGCGCGAGTCCTTGAGCGCGACCTGACCGATGGCGTCCCCGATCTGATCCACAACGACGGCGGCGATCGCCTTCTTGCGCTTCGCCTTGCTGACCCTTCCGCCCTTCTTCCCGGCTTCCGGTTTCTCGCCGACGGGAGAGGGCGAGTTGGAGCCGCTGGCCTCTGCGTTGCGGTTGGCGCCGAAGAACGCGGAGCCGCCGAAGGAGCTCGTCTTTGTCGTGTGACCTTTCTTGCTGTAGGGGTTCTTCTTCGGACGCGCGGGTTCGGCGTTGGAGAGACGATCGAGCGCCTTCAAGCCTAGCCTGTTCTCCGCGAGACGCTCAGATAGGGCACGCTCGTGGAAGTTGATGGCCACGAAATGAAGCGCGACTTTCTCAGCAAAGATGATAATTCCGGCGGCGAAGAAGGCCTGGCACGGGGGTGAGACTCATGACGTTGGGATTATTGAGGGAGCCACGTACCGTCATAACGCGGTTGAGTTCGGGCCAGTAGTTTCCGGGAGGATGCAGGATCGAACGGATGATACCAAGGGAGATCCATGCCCAGGAAATGTCGAGGACGAGCTTGAGCCACGGTCCGACCGCCGCGAGGAGCTGGGAGGAATGTCAGCCCAGTCCCCCAGCGTGTGAATAGAAAGTAAAGCTTACCTCGACCTGCGTTCGTAAACGCTCGATAGACATGCCAGACAGACTCAGAATGCCGATGAACAGACGCGGGACGAGATCAACGAGCAGGAAAGTGACACAGCTGGTGACCCAGATAGCCGTAGCCCAGATTGACCAGGCGCGAACATGGCCAAACGCCGAGTTATTCCTGAAGCGGAAGTGGACGATGAGGAAGGGTGCGATGCAGAGCCCGCCGCCGAGGATGCCGACGATGAAGGTCCGGACGGGCCGGCTGAGCTTCATGAAGAGCAGGTAGAGGCGCCGCCCGCGCTTAGCTTTGGCGCCCGCGCGCGGGTGGTGCCCGCTCTTCGTCTCCTCGTCCTCGGCGTCCCAGTCAAACTCGTCGTCCGTGTCCGTAGCTGTGTCGGATAGACTGTCGACGTCGCCACTACCTGGCGTCAGCCGGCTATCGGTCCGCACCACGTTTTCCCGCGAGGAGCTGGCGGCAAAGTCGTGCCGCTTGAGCTCGGACAGCTGCAGGTCATCGCGAGCGGGTGCAGCGGTGGGTGACCCTCTGCCAGCCATTAGTTCGTCGGTAGATAGTGGAGGTAACGGGTCAAGGAAGCCCTGGCTGCGTGGGTGCGTCCGCGCGCGCGATTTTTCCTTCCGGACCAGGGCCTTGTCAAAGTGGACCGGGGTCGTCGCCAAGAACACAAGGGCAGAATAATCCGGGGTTTCGCGCGCGTCATCCTCCCATCTTTACGGCGTTCAATTAAGCTCATCCCCCGAAGTCTAATCGCAAGTTATAAACATATCTATCTATCTAAGTATCCTCGTTACGCTAGTCCCGCCTCCGCCGCCAGCGACCTGAAAGCACTCTCCGGACGGGCCAGCAGCGTCTGCGGCTCGTCGAACTCCAGAACCTGCACGAAACGGTCAAAGCATGATGAGATCCCTGTGTTCGTTGCTGCGAGCAAAAGAACGGCCTCGAACGCACCTTGCCTTCGGAGAGCACGAGGACCCGATCTGAATCGATGATCGTGTTCAAGCGGTGCCTGAACGCACATCAACATCAACAACCGCCCATAGAAAGAAGCACGAGTGGCACGCTGGCTTACGCGATAGTCAGAAGTGTAACGCCCGCGAATTGCGGGCCTCGAATGATATCCTGGATGGCACGGTCTGTCTGTAAGTCTACAGCAGACGTAGCTATACATAGACGAATGTGAGTGGGGCTCGGGCACAGGCGGACTGAAAGCTGCGCACCCTCGTCGAGCACCAAGATCTTTGTTTTGCGCAGTAAAGCACGGGCGAAGCACACAAGCTGCCGTTGACCCGCGCTCAAACTGGAGCCACCCTCTTGCACGCGCGCATCGAGAGCGCCAGGGAGTCCCTCGACGAACTCCTTCAAGTGCGCCTGCTCGAGCGCGACCCAGATGTCCGCGTCGCTGTGCTCGCCTACGGGGTCGATGTTCTCCCGCACGGTTCCTTCGAACAAGTCCGGCGACTGCGGAACAATGGAGATAGCGGAGCGCACTGAGGGATGATTAGCTTACACGGGTTCGGCTAGAGGCTTTGGTACATACAGTCATGTAACCCGATTGTAGTGATGTCTACACCGTCAATGTAGATCGTGCCCGCGGCGGGCTCTAAGACCCGGAATAGTGCGAGGAGCAACTACGAAGATTATGAGCCTCCCCGTCCAATCAGGTCGATTGAATACATACCGAAGACTTGCCCGCACCCGTCCTACCGCAAATACCGATCTTCTCAGCTGGTCTCTGCAAGTGATGGTCAGCTTGATTCGGCCACGGAGTGGGGACTACACATACAAACTTCAGCGAGATATCCTTGAGGACAAGGTCAAGCTCAGGCCTGTATCGCAGCGAATAGTTCCTGCGCAAAGACGCATCAGCCGTCGAGGGTCTCATAGGAACACGAGAGCATAATCTTACTTGAACTCCACAACACCCTCAGAAGGCCACTCTTCCGCCGGCTTCGTCTCCGGAACCTCATACGGCGCCTCAGGATCCAGCTCGATATACTGCAACATCCTCTCCACGCTGACAATGTTCTGCTCGACCTCGCTCGCAGCACGGACAAGCCAGTTCAGCGAGCTCGTAGTATTGAGCGCGTAGCTGATGACGAGACCGACCAACCCCGCGTCGACAGTGCTCGTGATGAGACTAACCATCGCCAAAGAACTCGCAAGGAGGATGATGGATGCGCCGACGAACTCGAGACGGAGAGCGAGCCAGCGGTTCACGCTGGTGCTAGGCAGATAGCACACTTGATTCCTGTCGATCCTGCGTGCGTTGATGCCCTCGAAGACGTTCTGCATCCCAAAGGCGCGGATTGTGCTTAAGCCGTTGAGTGATTCAGAGAACCAGCTGAAGAGCGGCGAGCGCGAGACGGCGTTCAGCCGTTGGAGCTCGCGAGAGGTGGCGAGGTAGTAGGTTGTGACTTTGCTGTAGAACCAAGCGAGAGGTGGGATGGCGACCAGGAAGAGCGGGAAGGAGGCCGTGATGACCACTACGATACCGGAGACGGTTGCGATGGTGCGGAAGAGCATTGAGATGACGCGTGCTAGGGCTTGGTCGACGACGTAAGTGTCGCGCGAGAATAGGTTCATGATACTGGTGGGAGTCACGTCAGCCCATATTCATGCAAGATAGATAGTACAGGACGTACCGTCCGGTCGGTGTGATCTCAAAGAAAGTGAGAGGTGCACGCATAACAGCGTTCAACATCGAATCGTGTAAGTTCTTCGAGCTCCTCAACGAGCAAAGCACCCAAATAAGCACAGCGCTCGCTCCGCTCAAGATCGCAGAGCTCAAGCTAAGGACGCCGTACACCCAAAGGTACCCAAGCGCATCCTTGTTGTTTCCAGCTGATCGATTCCCCTCGCCCCATGTCTTCAATGCAACGTTCGCCAACACCGAGCACACCTGCTGCAGCAACATCGACACGACGAACATCGCGAAGCCGTACTTCGATGCAGCCTGGATGTACCGCCAGTACACGCGCTTCGACACGCGGCCCTGTTGCGAGACTTCCTGGCTCAGACCCTGCGAGGCGGACGAGGACTGCGAGGGCGCGGGTAACGCGGCGACTTTTGCCCGCGCGAAGGATCCGCGACGTTGCAGTTTCTCGGCCAGCTTCTCTTCGTCGAGCTTCTCCTCCGCTATTGTTTCCTCCGAGGGGGGCGTTACGGACTCCGTAGGCGTTGGTACGGCGGTTGCACCGGCAGAGGAAGAACTTCCGGCTTGGCCATGGCCGTGTCTGTACGTGTGCGATCAGCGGACGCGTCCATGTGCGTGCATACAACGATATGCTGTTAAGCGAGAGAATAGACGTACAAGAGCTTGAAGAGTTCGCCTTCGGGGTTGGCGGCGAGTTTGGTGTATGGGCCTTGTTCGACGATGATCCCGCGTCGGAGGTAGACGACCTGGTCAAAGTGCTGCGCGAATGCAACGCTGTTGGTGATGAGGATGCGTGCTTTGGACGCAAGTATACCGCGTGGGCCGATGACCTGGTCTGCGTAGCGCTGTGTCAAAACCAGTACTGCAACTGCACACATGTCCGAAGAGCTCACTGAATACATGGCGGGCAACGTGGGAGTCGACGGCCGCCAGCACGTCGTCGAGAAGTGTTCTGCAGGGCCAGTCAGACTCGAGCGTATCGGAATAATCAAATGAGAAGGCGTACAAGTCCGCACGAGCGTACACCGCCCGCGCAAGCGAGAGTCGCGCACGCTGCCCGCCACTCATTGTGATGCCCTTTTCGCCGACCTCCGTCTGATCTCCCTGCGGCATGAGCGCCAAGTCCGGCCTTAGAGCGCACGCTGCGTACAACTCATCAACATTCGCTTCAATGCTTCGGAGGTGTAGGATTCGATCATACCATCCAGAACGAGGTTATAGAACGTCTCATCGTACTCATGCGAGAATAAGATGTTATCCCGCACTGTTGCGCTCATAATCCATGGGTTCTGCCCTGCATATGCGATCGTTCCTCCAACGTACACGGTGCCCTCCCGGCGGTACATATCGCCGATGATGGCGCTCGCTAACGAGGTCTTGCCCGCGCCGACACGTCCGAACACGCCCATAAGCTCGCCTTTGCGCAGGGAAAGCGAGATGCCCTCGAGCGTCGGCGTCGGAGCATCGGATGACCACGCGAATTCGCCGTCTTCGATGGAGAGTACTGTGGCCCCGTCTTCGACGATGGACGGGACTTCGACCTGCCGCGCATCGGGTTGAAGCTCGGAGGAGTTGAAGAACTTGGTGAGGCGTTTGGCAGAGACCCAGGCTTCGACGAGGTTGGTCACAACGTTTGCGAACTATGGATGGATGTCAGACGTGAACAAGCCCCGAAAGATTCGTGGACCAACTGACCATAGCAAGTGGGAACTGCAGCAGCATGAACAGCGACAGGGCCGGGAAGATGACGTCGCTCGTAAGCGGGTACGGGTACACCGCTGCAGCAGTGGCGAAACTGGCAAACCCGACGAGGATGGGAATCGTGATCCACAGCGTGCTGTTCAAGCTGTTGAAAATAGCAATCTTCCGCAAAAGCTTCAACTCCTTCTCGTTCCGCACATGCAGGATCTTGCGCAAGAAAGCATGCTCCCAGGCGTAAAGCTTGATACTCCGTACATTGGAGAGCAACTCGCTCATGAGCCGTGTACGCTCATCGCGGTTCTTCATTTGCTGCTCTTGCATCTTCTTCAGGAACCGAGCAACGAAAGTGTTCAGCGGGATTGAAAGAAGCATGATGGCGACGCCGACGAAGGCGGACCAGCCGAGCAGGTTGTAGAGTGATATGAAGGCGAGCGTGATTTGCCAAGGACCCGAGATGGCGATGAGACCGTAGGTGCAGACATCCTGAAGGCGAGTGGCGTCGACAGACATCAGGTTGACGATGTCGCCAGTACTTTGGCTACGGCTATCGTTCGAGAGTAGAAGCGCTTTCCTGTAGATGGCGGAGACAAGACCGGCGCGAACGCGCATGCCTGTCTCGTAACAGCGTTGGAAGTACTATATTGCTATTTAAGTACGATGCGTCACATCGAAAGAGGGAGAGCGAACCTGGTGCTGCATGATAGACTGGGTGATAGCCGCGATAAACATGAGGATCACAATAGCGAAGCCTTCAGTGATTGTAGGACTGCTTGGTGTGCCATGGTATGCCTGATACGATGCGATATAGGCGAGGAAGAGTCGTAGGAGTTGCGGTTGCATGAAGGCAAGTACGTCGTGTATGACCTTGATGATAGCTGCTCCGCCATAGGGTCCACCGTACGCACGGAAGAGTGAAATGATCACCCCGCTATACAGGGATCAGTACAGTGGTAAGAATGCATTTCAGAGGCGGGCATACTGTCTCTTGAGCTGCTGCTCTAACCTATCTCCAAGTCTCTCGGCTTCGTCATGCTCTAGTAGAGCGGGCAAGTCCGCCTCTGTGACCGGGCGCTTGGCACCGAGACGCATGAGAGGAGAGAGCCAGCCAAAGAACCATATGTCGAAGATGCTGGCGGTGACGATGGGATTCTCTTTGTAGAGCTCTGCGAAGGCCTGGTCACCGCGTTCGGGCTCTTCGGCGTACTCCGGACCGAACTGTTCCAAGACCCACGCAATAAGACCACAGCCGGCCGTAGCCCAGCGGAGAGCGAGAGTGATGGGTGGATGCGGTAGTCCGACGTCTATGGCGGTGCGAGTGTAGATGATATTATAGGCGTAATAAGCCGGCCAGAAGAGCAGTATAGTTGTAGATGGTCGCCGAGCATGGGAGTGGTTTAGGCGCGCAACGATAGGGAGTATAGCGAGAGCGATAGGCTCGAGTATAGTTGTCTGTGTGACGGCGACGGTCTTGTCTAGAGCGTGGGCGATGACTGCTCCGGAGATAGCGCAGGCGATTGCGAGCACGAGGACGAGCTATGATAGATAATATGAACATCACGCAAGAGCACACCATCCGCGGTGACAGTATATATAAGTACGCACCTCCTTAGTTCGTTGGATCCACCTGTTCTTTCTGCTTTTGCGTTCTTTCGCGGGCTCCTTGCGGAGGAGGCCGACTTGTATACAGCCAGCTGCGAGGAGGATGACGAGAAGCGTGGGGAGGACTACGCCCTGCTCGAAGCACGGCGTCAGGTCGAACTTGCGGAGGTGCGAGACTGGGCCCCAGCCTTCCGGGCTGTGGCACGAGCCGTCGGTGTCGTATCTGCCGAGTACCATGGCAGGATGCTCGGTGTCACTTCTAAGAGGCGCAACCACTGCCTTATACTGTGATGAGTGATCCACTCACGCCCTCCGCGTCTCCTTTCTCGAGCTCGCGGGTGCGGGTGACAAATGTTCGAAACCGGTTCGGTCTGCGCGAGCTGTTGCGTGACATCACGCGCGTCGCGTATATTCTGATTTCTCCGTGGCAGGTCGGCACGACGCGTCGAGGACGCCGCGGACGACCCACCGCGTTCGGGAAACTGACCGACAATGAGCTTGCTACGGTGTTCACGGCTGAGAGGTCAGTCTGACCGTCGACGGAGATACGTAGGCGAGAGTCATATTCCATTGGTATGTATGAAGCAAGCGACAGTTCCGTCAATTCCCATACTAATACAGGCCAGAGTTCATGTATACATCAACTCCTCAATCATCGTCATCATGTCCTGCCAGAGCAATCATGCCCAGCTGCATGCTATCCATCTTCGGCACGATATTCTCCCTGATATACCGCGCCGCGTCCTTCAACAGATCCGTACACTCGCCACGGTCTACCGGTCCACTCCTGCGCCCGTCAAGCTCAATTAAGCGATACTCCCCTGCGGGCGCCTGTGTTGCGCGTTCCACGACAGTCGGGGCCTTCACAAAGCAGGTGAAGTGCAAGTCGACCTTCTCGTCTGCGGATGGCGCGGCGGTTTGTCCCCCTGCCGCGGCTTCAGCGTGGATGTTGGCGAAGATGTCGGTTGTCTCCAGGATCTTTGCGCGGTCCAATGGCGATTTCTCTGGGGGGATACACATGAGCAGAGTACAAAGTAGGCTCCAGTAGTATAACATACCCTTGCACACATCGAGAAAACGCTGCATCGGGCAATCAGGCTCAAACGCGACTTCGGTCTAAACGCGTCTCAATTTCCTGGTGAATTCCGGGTAACGGTATAACGGAACGCACATTCGCAAGCGCGTGAATCAGACCCATCGTTCCGCATGCGTTGCCGATCTGGCTTATCTATGAGTACACCCGTGAGCGCCTCCGAAGGGATGAGAACGAACAGTCTGCTTCATCCAGAACACCGTCGGGTCAACTTCGTAGGTCTTCTCATCCTCTTGCTTCTTCACTGATTCGAGTGCGTCATCGATGGGGAAGAGCAAGACCACTGCGTGAACGGGTTGGGGAACTAGAGCGAGGAGCTATGCGACATGTCAGCTGCGTATACGGGCAGGTGGCCTAGTGTTGTGGACGAGGCGTGCGCACCTCATCATCTAAGCCATACACATCAGTGAACTCCGCGCTGCTAGGAAGTAGACCAGCTTTGTACGCCCACTTCAGACGTGGACCTTAGATTTCATAGCATCGCGGCTTAGAAAGCACACTAGAACGGACCGAATTCATAACCTGCATTGCACAGATGGCGCGCGATCAACGTCCACTCGGGTAGATCGTGAAACCAATAAGGGAACGCACATCGGGATTGCTCTCCAGAGGGATCCAGCGGGGGTTGGACGACATGATTGATTATGACAGTTGGATGTAGATGAGAGGGTCGTGGTGGTAAGAAGCAAAGACAGTACAAGCTCATCGCAACTGCACGAGTTCAAGTCGATACCCCGGCGCCTGCGCATTGCGTCACGGCGCGCTAAGAGTTTCGCCGCCGCGCGCACGCCACACGCGTCTTGGAACCAGACCACGACCATCACAGCGGGTCGCTTGCATCTGGACGTCACATACGCTCTTATTTCACCCAGTCGCACTTTGATCATGGATTACACTGCTCGGCTGCCTGTAGAAACCATTTGCCAGGTGCTCATATGCGCTCAGGACGCGGATCCCGTTCCTTCAATCAAGGCCATGGAGGAATGGGCCAAGGATAATCGTGTTGATGCACAAAATTCTCGGAATCACCTCACACGTCGTTTGGCCTGGGTCAATACGACGCACGTCTGTGCCCGCTGGCGCGCCGTGGCATTTGCTACATCCAGCCTTTGGAGTGAAATGCCGATCGTCCTTGGCCCTCACTGGGTGAAGGAATTCGTCGCGCGAGGCCAATCCGGGCCTATAACGGTTCATTGGGAATCAGTGCGGAGGATCACCGCGTCAGGCGACAAAGGGCCCTTTCGCATGTTGCCCGAAGAGAACTTCTTGTTGTCTTGCCACGAAAGAGTGCGCAATCTGGTTGTTGTGCTCGGCGTCGACTCCCTCCCCCGCGGCTCGTGGCCTATGCTCGAAGATCTGACTTACACTCTTACGATGCGCGTGGTGAATAGACGCTATCGTCCGCCCGTAATGGATGTCTCTATGTTCGACGGCGATCTCCCCCGTCTTCGCTCTTTGACCTGGGATCGAATCCCTTCGAGTATCTTTCCATGGGGGGCACAGTGTATACGGCATCTTACCCGTCTATCTATGTTATTTGACGATAACAGTATCGTGACCGATAACTTGAACCAGTTCCTGAATATGCTCGAAGGCATGATGCATCTGCAAGATCTGCGTCTCCGTGCAAGAACCAGTACCTGGCCAGAGGCCGGTGCGATCGTCTCAAACACTCCTGCCGGACGGACAGTGTCTATACCTCTCAAAGTCCTGGCTCTGGCGGCCACTCTTCCCATATTAACCGAGCTCATGAAACATATCATCCCACCGCCCACTGTCCGAGTCCTCGTGCGCGTTATCGCACGGAACGTCACGTCATTATCTTCAAACGCGATGCAGGGCGTGCTATCTTTGTGTCGGAAAGCTCGAGGGTGGCTTGAGATGTCGCTCTCTTCTTCGCCGTTTATCACAGCCGAGGTCATTGAGCTTCGGCACGAGGCCGAAACGCAGATTCGCTTCTCTCGTTCACCTGCCTTTCCCGCATCTATCGCTACAATTCTGGAGACGAAAGGTTGGGACCACGCTATAGAAGACACCCACCTTGATGTTGCGATCAGCCTTTATCTCCACAACATCGCTGCTTATGGCGACATAGTAACCGCATTGGTCCACGAAATGGCGCCGCAGGGAATCAGAGCGTTGTCTATGGACTTCTATGAACCGAGGGCGTTCTCTTCGTTCATACCTCACATGATGCACCATGCTGTGTACCGCGATGTGCAGTGCCTGCGCTTATTCTCCGACAATGCCCCCGTTTATCTCGGGGATATGATACATTCTTTGAATACGACCTATCTCGTCCCCCTCCCCGCCACCAAGATCCTGGCAATACATCCATCGGGTCTAGCGTCCATCGCCAATCTCGAACCTCACGAATCAAGAGACGGCACAGGCGGCCTCGGCGACTTCCTAATCGCGCGTCGTGAGGCGAATGCACCGATACATACCGTTTACATCGGCGCGGTCGAAGATGTGCAAGATGCTTGCGCTCGACTGGTGGGAGTAGGCGAGGATGTTGTGGCGGAGAGCCAGATGGATGAGCTCGTCAATGCGTTCAACGTGCTTAAGGGAAGGTCCGAAGTGACGTTCATATCAAAGGACGTGCGGGCTTTGTACGCTCAGGATATGTGGAAGGCGGTGATGGGTTAGCAGTGTCGGTTGATTCAGGAGGGCTTGGGCCAGGGAGCGAAGAGACGACTGTACCACATGTACTTCGAATGTATGTTTAGGCGAATGTTCCTCGTATTGTACTACGCTGCTGGCCGAAACAGGTTACAGCGACCTCTGTCGTATGGATTCACGCCTACGTGAATATGGTCTGGCTGCTGGCATGGCGTGGCATGAGTGATGTGACTGGAACAGCCCGGAGCCCGAAGAGCTTGACCCAGCACGCTCATCGGGCCGTGATTGCCGCACCTGAGTCGCACGCACGAGTGTCCTTGGATCCCGACCGCCACCATCGTAGCAGGTTCAACGCATCCGTTCTTCGTCTCCAGAAGTGCATAGTATGGACTATACCACTCAGCTACCAGTGGAGACACTCTGCGCCATCTTTGAAAGTGCAAGAGACGCGAATCCCAGCCCTGGCATCGACGAGCTCTTGCCCCATCTCATCGCCGGTCACTCCAGATATACACTCCGCGTTGTCGCCCTGGCATGGATTCCAGGAGTCACGCATGTCTGCTCCCGATGGCGTACCGCTGCAGTCAGCGATCCAAGTTTGTGGACACAGATCCCGGTCATGCTTGGCCTTCATTGGTTGCGCACGTTTCTCTCACGCAGCCGGGCGGACACCGTCACGATTGATTGGAAATCGTTGGAGCGTATGGACCCGGATGAGATACAGTACTCTTTCTCCCGACAGCAGGTTGAAGAGGAGGTCATTTCCCACCACTCGGAAAGGCTACGCAACTTGATCGCAGTCTTCGACGACCATAAGGATCGGCAACTGCTCTGTCGTCCTTGGCCGGTGTTGGAGGATTTGGAAGTGTCGTACTCTGCCAAGCTCAGCACTCCCCTTGGTTTCTTTAACCGCGAATTTCCATCCCTTCGTCGTCTGACGTGGCGACAGTACTCGAGCAGTGACAGCGGCGCCTTCTTGTCACAAGCCTTGAGCCTCGGATCGCTCACTTATCTTCGTCTTGTATTCGCTCGAAATATCGATGGCTGGCCGATAAACACGCTACTTGATGTGCTCGGTCATCTCACGATGTTGAGGCATCTGCAGATAGGTTCGTCTCATTGGCACATGAGAACGCCGAGGCCACGTGAAACTCGCGATTCGCCACGACGAGTGCAAGGGGTGCCCTCTCTGAGGACCCTGCTCCTGCACACAACCTACGACGAAATGAACCATTTCTTGTTGCACGTCGATATTCCAGTGGATGTCAAGCTCCAACTGAAGGAGACCAGCTTGATAGGTACTGGCGAAGACATGACTTCGGCTCTGCTTTCTATGAAGCATGCTTGTACTCAGCTTGTCGAGTGGTACCGAACATCGCCCGATGCTCCCCCCTTCATAGCTGCTGATGTCGCACTGCTGCGTCGTCCGAACCGCACATATAACTCGAATCGCGCATTTCATGCACGACTGTCTCGGTCTGCGATTGTCCAGGCGCCATCACCTTCGCGCTGGGATGAACACATTGATGGACGCCATGCAGACCTTGATATCGAGTGTCAATTCGTCAGCGGACACGGCATTGCCATGTTCCTAACGATACTCCACGTCTTGGCCCCGCAGAGTCTCCGTTCGTTGTCCATAGATGTCGACCACATCGAGTTCGCGGACATCGTGTCATCTTTCGACGATGCGGCGTTTCAAACAGTCGTTGCCCTTCACTTCCCCCGATTGGAGGGCGCGTGCTGCATCCAGAGCCTTAACAGGCAGCCGTCTGCGGTTCATCTATTCCCATCCCTGAGACTGCTTGCTTGCCCGGCTGAGGGCTTATGGGATGCGCTATCCTTGGTGCCCAATACGGTGTATGGTTCCTCACAGGATCTCCTAGCAAACTTGTTAGCCAAGCGTCGCACCACCGATACACCAATCTGTGCTGCATATTTCGGGGTCGCGGACGAGGTTGAAAGAATCCGCCATGAAAGAAACCCTTCTTCAACAAGTTGTGGACGGCGCTCTAAAGCCGACTGGGTCGAAATCAGGCGCGCGATCGACTTGTTAGAGGCGATGCCCGAAGTTCGGCTCATACAGGGAGGCCGGGCGTTGGAGAATGAGGTTGTGTACATTGATATCGTGCGCGGAAGCTGCACCGAGAACATAGGCTGAGATGTAAACAAACAAGACCGATGCTTCGACTGTATACGCCTTGCTTCTGTACCTGCTGATGGATATTCTGCATACTGACCAATTACACCTCGGACTGATGAGAAGTGTTCCGAGGGTGAACGATCCCGCTCATCTATGAGCTATCCTGCATTTAACAATGACCCTTGAGCCAAGTACCGCAAGTTGTGACGTAAAATGCGAGAATAGTAGCCCAAGTCTTCGGTAAACCAGATCGACAGTCCGCAACACGCCGTGCGCGTGCCCGTCGGGCCGCGATTGCCGCGCCTGGGAGTTTTCCCATCGCACGCCGAGTGTCCGTGGATCGATACCACCACCATTGGAGTATATCGTCCCATTTTCTTACTGGTCTTAAACCCCTTTTGCCATGGACTACACAACTCAACTACCCGTGGAGACCCTCTGCTCGATTTTTGCGCACGCGAAACGCGCGATGCCGGCTCCTGGCGCTCAGGAACTCGTGCATTTCTCTGAGGCCAGATACGCATATCGCGTTATCGCCCTGGCGTGGATTCCGGCAGTCACGCACGTCTGTTCCAGATGGCGCTCTGTGGCGGTCAACGACCCGAGTCTATGGACGGACGTTCCAGTTGTCCTCGGCTTCGAGTGGCTACGCACGTTCGTCGAACGTAGCAGGATGGAGACCATAACACTAGACTGGAAGTCGCTGAAGCACATCGAAGAGGGACTTTTGCAACACACCTTGAACCGGGATTGGGTCATGAAGGAGGTTCTGCCTCGCATTTCAGGAAGGACGCGCAACTTGATTGCGATCTTCGACGAGCACTTCACTCCCCGTCTATCTTCATGTTCTTGGCCGATGCTAGAAGAACTCAGTGTTGTGTGCCACTCTAGCTTCGAAGCTGCCAATGCCCTGCTCAACCAAGACATCCCTTGCCTTCGTCGCCTGTGTTGGCAATGCCGTTCGGAGGACTTTCCGTTTGACGCTCCGAGCCTCAGCTCGCTCACCAATCTGCGGCTTGAGCTCCCTCGGGGGAGTTATGACACGTTAATGGTCCCTCTTATCGATTTGTTATCCCGCATTACTAGCCTGAAGCATCTACAACTATACTCGGTGAAGCGTGGTTTTGAAGCATGGGGTAGGCAGCCGGGGCCTTGCAGAACATGCCTCTCGCCACAACGAGTGCAAGAGATACCATCCTTGAAGACTCTCTTACTAGAGGCAACATTTCGCGAAATCAATCATTTCATAACCCACATCCATCCGCCAGCAGGCGTCAAACTTCGACTGAAGGAGAATGCATATGGGAGAGACGGTGTTAGCGCGTCGTCTTCCATGAAGACGATCTGCCATAATCTGGCTGCCTGGTACTCAGCATCCCCCGATACTACTCCCTTCACAACAGTCGAGCTCACGAATAACTCGACCATGCAACTGTGCGTGCGTCTGGCTAGATGTGCAACATATCCGACATTGCTATCTCAGGATGCCTGGGATGAGCACATCAACGGCATTCACACTGATCTTGAGATCGAGTGTACGGTTGTTGGTGGATTGGGCCTTGAGATGCTGGTCACAATCCTCCAAGTATTGGGACCGCAGAGTGTCCGTGCTCTTTCCCTCGACGTCGATCACCGGTTGTTTAGATCGATCGCTCGTTGTCTGAGTGCAGACGTCTTTCATCACGTTGTCGCACTACACTTTCCCCAGATAGATGGCGTACACTGCCTCGAAACTGTCAGCAATAACCTATTCGTCCCACCCGGGGTGACGCCTTTCCCTTCTCTGAGAGTTATCTCATTCCCAACCGCCAATGTCCGCGACGCTCTTCACTGGATACTCAACGGGGCGTATGAGCAGTCCAAGGACACGTTAGAGGAGTTCCTATCCAGACGTCGCGCAGCCGACATGTCTATACGCGCAGTATACTTAGGGCTCGCGGATGAAGTCCGGATGATCCGTCAGGAAGGAAACCCAGCGACGACGAGTTGCGGGCAACGCTCCGAGGACGGGTGGGACGCCATCAGGCGCGCAATCGACATGCTGGAAGCCATACCCGAAGTCGTCTTTCTTTCGCGAGGGATTGATGCTCTATACAACGAAGCCGCATACAACGAAGTCTTGCAACTTGAACGGGCGGTCGTGAAAGCTACGTAGCGAGGTAGGGCCGACGATCGGAAGGTGATGGGCCGGCGCAAAACAGGCGCAGGTATACGATACCTACCCACGCAGTCTGTCTAGTGTCATACTGAATGGAAGTTCCCGCTGCCAGTCCAGTGTGTTCGGTACCAAAAGTCGACATCGATCATAGACCGAGGTAGTAGACGGCGTGCTTACTTTCTATATTATTTATACAGCATTCTTAACGGGTATAGGCCAATTGAAGTCACACTACATGGGTCTTTCTCATGCGAGAACAGGTGGTGTCGTTAAGTATGAGTGAGTATACATGAAGGGAAGAGACGAACATGACGCGCGCGAGATCCAGGGCCGGGCACGCACACGCGGCGGCCGCGCTACCTGCGTGCGTGATGGCGCGCGTACGCCGTGAGCTTGCTTGCTTGAGACCCACCACCATCGATAACTTTGAAAATGGATTACACCTCTCGTCTACCCATCGAAACCCTTTGCTACATGTTTACGTGGGCAAAACGATCAAATTCTGTCACCGATGCATCAGGTCAACTACTCTTCAACGCTGCGCGCGCGAAACATGAGCAGGTGCCTCACAGCGTTGCGATGGCATGGATTCCAGGTGTCACTCATGTCTGCTCTCGCTGGCGCTACGCGGCTCTGGGGTACACCAGTCTTTGGACAGATATCCCCTTCATCCTGGGTCTCGACTGGTTACGCACGTTCCTCGAACGTAGCGGGGAGGCGAGCGTCGCCGCGGATTGGCAGTCTCTGTCCTTTATGGCATTAGGATTACTAGAATCCTCATTATCTCGTGCTCGATTCGAAAGAGCCTTGATACCGCTCCACTACAGGAGGCTGCGTAATTTGGTCGTGAAAGTCCAAGAAGAGACGGATCTCCAACTCTTTTCCTGCTCCTGGCCGATGCTGGAAGAGCTGAACGTTATGTTCCGCGATCCACTCATGGCACCTTTCCCATTGCTGAACCACGACCTTCCTCGTCTTCGTCAACTGACGTGGGGATCCGGTCTCGAGCTCGATTCATCTTTCTTCCCGTACCAAGCCCGGTGTATGGACTCGCTGACCTTCCTCCGTCTCGATACCGCTTGGGGCGTCCATAACACTTCCATGAGCCCCTTTCTTGATATGCTCGCTCGCATGAACAACCTCGAGCACTTGCAGCTGCGCTCGACTACTGCACGTCCCTCGGCTACTGAGCCATGCACAGCATGCGCTCCAGTGAGACGAGTACAGGAGCTGCCTTCCTTGAAGACACTCTCATTGCAGACGAACTACTACGAAGCAAACCACATGCTGTCGCACTTCGCCGTTCCACCGAACGCGAAGTTCCGATTCGAGATCCTAGAGCCGGCGGCCCGATCGAACGACATGGATGCCATGTTTCGAACATCGCTATCGAGCAGGATGCTCTACACACAGCTGGCCAAGTTTTACCAGGCTGTGAACGGCATTCCTCCGTTCGTCGCTGCCGAGCTCAGCATGGAATCGCGCACCAAATTCCATGCTCGTTTATCGAGATCCACTACCTTTGCGGAGCCGATCCACACGCCTGGCACTGGCAGGGTTCGACGTTTCGAACCCGAGCTTCAGGCAGACCTTGAGGTGGAATGCCCTGTCGTTCCCACTAATCAAGGTCTCGCGATGCTTACCACAATCTTGAGCATACTAGCCCAAGATACCATCCGTGTCTTGGCGCTCAATATCAACCCCCATGACCTAGTCACCGCCGCTCTCGACAACACCGTCTTCCGCAATGTCGTCGCTCTCCACTTCACCGGAAAGGAAATCTCACCTTATTTCGCGCCTCTAACAAAGGTTTCCAATGCCGGAGAGGCTCAACCCCTGCCTAACCTCAAATTCGTCGCTTTCACAGCACCGGCCTTATCCAGCATCGTCGACGTCGGGTCAAGAGTGCCATATCAGCCCCCTAAGAACAGGATGCAGGACTTCCTGCTGGCCCGTCGCCAGGCCAAAGTGCCCATCCGCGCGCTATATCTTGGGATCGCAGAACAAGCACGGCTGTTCCGGATCGAAGGTCGTGCGGGCTCGAGTGGTACAACCCACCGCGACAGACGACAGGCGGAGAGGGACGGGTTCAAGATTAAGCGCACACTCAACCTTTTGGAGGCCATACCCGAGGTCTCCTTCATCGCGAGAGGAGCTGAGGCCCTTTGCCGCGAAACCGTGTACAACGAGGTCCTGCAACAGGCCGCTGCTGAAGGTAGTTGAGAGGCGAAGCGAGGCTGGCAAGCGATGCCTTGTACACCAGGACAGACTCGATGGAACGAAAACTGGGACGATCATGCCTGTTTCACGTACTGTAATATGCTATGCGCACACCCTTTCACCCTCGTATGTCCTCTTCTAGCGGTATCATTTGCAGCAATGCAAAGGGGCGTCGGGGATACTGAGAGCAAATTCACCAACGCGCCCCACCGCGGATGACTGAACGGAAACGAACGTCAAATTTATGTCAAATACCCACTCTCAGTAGTCTCGGTACCTTACGCTCATGGCTTGACGGTTGCACCAGTATCACACAATGAACGACAGTCTAGCAATAAGAAGCGAATATAATTTTTTGGGTCCCAAAACTAAGGTACGCTATCTGTCAACAACCCCCGCATGCAACAACGCACATCTACTGGAAGCCAGCAACATGGTCCTCAACGACCTTCTTGATCTGGGCCTCGACGTCGCCAGTGACGTTGCCCGTCGAGATCGTCTCGAGCAGCTTGCTCTGCTGCGTCGTCAAGTGCTCACGGAAGTCCGCCTCCCACTTGGTGATCTTGTCGACGGGGATGGAGTCGAGCAGACCGTTGACACCGGCGTAGATGATGGGCACCTGGATCTCCATCGACAGGGGCTGGTACTGGCCCTGCTTGAGGAGCTCGGTCAGGCGGGCACCGCGGGCGAGCAGGAAGCGCGTCGAGGCGTCGAGGTCGGAACCGAACTGCGCGAAGGCAGCGACCTCACGGTACTGAGCGAGGTAGAGCTTGAGCGAACCGGCGAACTTCTTCATGATCTTCGTCTGCGCGGCGGAGCCGACACGGGAGACGGAGAGACCGACGTTGATGGCGGGACGGACACCGCGGAAGAAGAGCTCGGCCTCCAAGAAGATCTGGCCGTCGGTGATGGAAATGACCTAAAGGGTTTGTCAGTAAATAGTACGTCAATGAAGTGACAAGAAAGTGCGCACGTTCGTCGGGATGTAGGCGGACACATCACCACCCTGGGTCTCGATGATGGGGAGCGCAGTGAGCGAACCTCCACCGAAGGAGTCGTTCATCTTGGCGGCACGCTCGAGGAGACGAGAGTGGAGGTAGAAGACGTCACCGGGGTAGGCCTCACGACCGGGAGGACGACGGAGAAGGAGGGACATCTGACGGTAGGCGACGGCCTGCTTGGACAAGTCGTCGTAGATGATGAGAGCTATGGAAGAACGTTGTCAATGCCACGTCATGGAATAGCCAGTCTGAGATAGACGTACCGTGCTTGCCGTTGTCACGGAACCACTCGCCCATGGCACAGCCAGAGAAGGGCGCGAGGTACTGGAGCGGGGCAGCCTCCGAGGCGGTGGCGGCGACGATGATGGAGTACTTCATCGCGTCGTTCTCCTCAAGCGTCTGGACGAGCTGAGCGATGGTCGAACGCTTCTGGCCGACGGCGACGTAGACGCAGTAGAGCTTCTGGGTCTCATCGCCAGAGTCGTTCCAGCGCTTCTGGTTGAGGATGGTGTCGATAGCGACGGCGGTCTTGCCGGTCTGACGGTCACCAATGATGAGCTCACGCTGGCCACGGCCGATGGGCACCATGGCGTCGATGGGCTTGATACCGGTCATCATAGGCTGGTTGACCGAGCGACGGGGGAGAATGCCGGGAGCCTTGAGCGACGCACGCTTGCGCTCGGCAGCGTCGATGGGGCCCTTGCCGTCAATGGGGTTGCCGAGAGCGTCGACGACACGGCCGAGAAGACCGGGGCCGACGGGGACGTCGACAATCTGGCCGGTACGCTTGACGGTGTCACCCTCCTTGATGAGACGATCGTTACCGAAGACGGAGACACCGACGTTGTCGGCCTCGAGGTTAAGGCACATGCCGCGAACACCCGAAGAGAACTCAACCATCTCCTCGGCTATGTCATACCGTTAGACTTTGTTCGTATCGTATAACCACAAGAAGTATACACACCCTGGACGTTCTTGAGACCCCAGACACGGGCAATACCGTCACCGACGCCTGTGGGAGAATTCGGGTGAGCGTCATATTCCGGTTGAAGAGTTGCCAAGACTGTACGCACTGAGGACGCGACCGGTCTCCTCGACGTTGCTGCCGACGGAAGAGCCAGCTATCCGCGACTCGAGGATGGAGGAAACCTCCGACGCGGCTGAGCGAGTTTAAACGTGACGTGTCGAATGTTGGACGGGTGAAAGTGGATGGTAGAACAGGCAAGTATAAAGAAATGGCGCATGAGTATTGTACGGGCGCTTATATAGACATACAAAACGCACCAGGCTTTGCCGTAGCGTAGGTGCGCGCTGCAGCGACAGCACCAGAACGAGTGACGCCCTGTCGTCAATTTCCGGTCAGGTTTTGACGCTTTTTGGGCATTTAAAATGGCAGACCTTGCTAGCGGCGTTGACGGCCGCGGCACGGCCAGCGTTACGGAGGGCAATACGGTGCATCGTTCGCGAGACGAAGCAAGGGAGGATGAGTGGGGGTTGGAAGTCACCAAAACAACTCGCGCCGTCCGTTTATGCCCGGACCCTCCCGACTCTCACGCTCCCCAATCCTCATTCGCCAAACAACTCCTCTGCACGCGTCCCGCGCGGTCATGGCCTCCACTCTCAACCGTAAGCATCAAAGTCGCGTTCGGCCTCGACAAATATACTGATTATATTCCAGCATTACGACGGCTCGCGCACACGGTCGCGGCCGCGACACCGTCGTCGACTTCGGCTGCGCTGGCCCTCATCCGCTCACAGCCAAATCACTACGTCGTCGCCGCAGTCGCTGGCCGCAAATACCTCCTGGCACCACGCGATGTCCTCACCGTCCCACGACTGAAAGACGTACGCGTCGGTGACACCCTCGCTCTCGACGGTATCCTCGAAGTCGGCTCGCGCGAATACACCCTCCGCGGCTCTCCCGTCATCGACCCCTCTCACGTCTCCGTCTCCGCCACCGTCGTCGAGCACACCAAGGGCCGTATGGAGAACATCTTGAAGTTCAAGAAGCGGAAGGGGTACAAGAAGATCGTGCAGCACAAGCAGACGTATACGCGTTTGCGTATTGGGAATATTGATTTTGCGCCGGCTTCGACTTCGGCGCCTTCGCCTCCGCCTCCTGCGCCTACACCATCCGCGTCACCGTCTCCTGCCACCGCATAGTTCTCGTTGTATAGCTTTCTAATTGCATAATATCCTGCTTTGCTATCACTCCGGTCGTGATCAGCTGGCGACTTGCGCCGAGCCATGAAGTTACACCGAAGCGCGGCGTTAGACGTTTGATGGTGCGAATCTCAAGTCGGCCAAGTTCGCCTGATACGATACACGCGTGGGCTTCGCTGTTGTTATTTGAAGTCGACATCTACTATGACGCGAAGGTCATATCTCAGCTTACTCACTGCTTCATCTCCAGCGCTAACCTTACCCCACTGGTGTTCACGCTGATAATCTACGTCAGTGTGTCCGGCTTTGACTGGTTGCCGAAACGAACTTGACCCGCAGACGCGTAGCTCGTTCAAGAACTTTGGATAATTGCGCAGTCAGTGCCCCTCTCCTATCTGGGTGAAGCAGTTTATGCTGAAGCGCACGCAGGTTAACGGTCGGCGCACACTCTAGCGAAGTGGTGAAATATGCATTGCTTTGTTCTGCATGATCTGCTTCTTTTCGCATATCTTTGCGCCCACTTCCAATCCTGCCTTGACAGTGGCATTGACGTGAGTTTGCGGGCCGCCAATGGTGTCGTTCATGAAGTGTACATTCGCCAGTGCCTTGGCGAACATATGCTTGTCCGACGCCCCTGTCGCGTCTATTCGGTGGGTCGCCCCATAACCCTCAGCTCAGCCCGTACTGATACGCACCAGTAGCATTGCAGATATTCTACGAGACTCGCGCTCTACCGATTGCATCGACTATATTGGCACAATCAAAGTGTGCAACGAGGCGCGACGCGGTCAGCTGACATGAAATATTCAACTCGTGTTTCGTGTTTCGGACACTTGCCTTCCACGCTCGACCTGCCGCCCACCTGCCTCGGCTCTGTCCCTGTGTCCCTGACACTTGACAGGCCGAATGGCGCTATCGTAGAGCTTGAGCGTGTGAAGATCTCATCGGCGACGGAGCGGATGCTCAAAGCGGGTGGAACCATTCCTCTTTCCTCCCCAGCATTCAGCTTACACTTTGATCACCGAGATACACTTCGCACCTTCTTCACCATGTCAATGTACCGCATCACTCGCTCTATATCTCTCAACGCTGGTCTTCGCCAGTTCATACACGACGCTTACGACGCCGCTTGGGCAGCTGCCAATGCCAAGGTCCCTCGTGTCCCTCGGCTGTCCGGTGTCACTCCCGTCGTCGCCACGCCCGCTGTCGCTGCCACGCCCGCTGTCCTGCCAATCTCGCATGGCACTGGCGTTCTAGCCCCTATGGCAACGGTTAGCGCTGTTCGTTTCGCTAACGGTGGCTCGCTCCCATTCGGCTCGCCTACCTCTCGCGCGCGCATCACCTCGGCGGAGCTCAATGTCCTCGAGGCGATGGACCGCCAAAACGAGTCGAACTTCCGGGAGGCTGAGCTTTTTGTACAACGGGAGGCTTTTGGGACCGTCGTCGAGGTCCTTGCCACGCAGGTCGAGGAGCTTACTACGCAGGTCGAGGAACTGGCTACGCAGGTTGTTGTTCAGGACGTCCACATCCAGCTCCTCACCGGACTTGGGAACGAGAGCGGCAGGCCCATCGCACCGCTTCCGACTCAGTCTACGCCTGCTCCCTCCTCTGCTTCCTCTGCCTCTGTTCTCTTCGAGGTCGACTCTGCGAGCGACGCTTCTGCTTCGGCGGAAGCACCTACCGATGTCGCCGCATTGCGCGCCCAGCTCGAGGCTCAACAGAGGAAGATCGCCCACCAGCAGCGTACGATTGCGAACCAACGTACCGTTCTCTCGATTCAAGCAAGCGCGCTCTCAGAACAGCAACATAGGATCGCAGCTCAGCAGGCGGCGCTCTTGGCCGCTAGCGGGGTACGCGATCAGGCTGAGGGCGAGCGTCAAGATGAACGGGCCAAGCACTCGGCTCTGCGAGACGCACACACGACTCTCCTCGGCGCACACACTCGCCTGCAAGACGCACACGCGGGCCAGCGAGACGCGCACACGGCGTCACGGGCCGCTCTTCAGGCCGAGCGTGTTGGGCGGATCGCCGATCAGAGGGCATCGGCACGTCGAGACACAGAGCATGTCCAGCAGATGCGCGAGTTGCGCAAGCAGCACAAGGCTGACCGCTTGGAACGCGAGCGTCAGTTCAAGGCCGCGCTCGCGGCGCAGGAGCATCGGTACACTTTGCGGTGCGAGGCGTTAAAGCGTACTCAGGCATCCGAGACGCACGACGCCAAGGACCTCGCTGCACGTTCTGTGGGTCGCGCAGACGCAGCTGAGCGTCTTCTTCTCCTTGCACGCGAGCGCTTCGCTCGTGAGCGCGAGGATCTGACTGCTGAGATATCAAGTCTCAAGGATCGTTTCGCAGCTCAGACTCCCGCCACGGGCACCAGCGGCGGGCG